GAATATATTTAGAAGCCTTTTTATTTAGAAATATATAGTTGTCACAAACATCTTATTTTCCTATATGTACTGTACAAAACCTTCATTTGCTCGTTCTTTTGCTCTTTGTGGTTGGATCTAACACTAACTGTATTGTTTTCTTACATCAATAAACTATATGTGGACCAGGCCCCCTCGGGGAGTGTGTTATCTGAGAAAAATGAGATAATTTATATTTTTGTTAGTGGTTATTGTTCATCCATGTTCCCTTTTTAACTTAGACTTGATTGGAAATCACAGCTTCCTTCTTTGATCGTACCACCTCCAACTTAATTATGAGCCTATTCAGTACTAAATTCTCCTACACAGTGTTGTACTACCGGCGGCCAAAGATGTTCAATTTTTTCACTTGTTATCACACCAGTTAGCAAACTTGAAAGGGAGAAGACAGCACATGTGTTACGGCAGAGCAAAAAGACTTTTTCCTTAAGACCAGCTTAGAGGCTCGTCTCTGGAAGCATTATCAAGGTAACACTGGAAAGCAGGAAAAAGTAAAATTCACAAGGGATCAATTAAAGATGAACTTCTTAAAATTGCAGTGAGAAATGAAGCTGGTACTCTGTGCTAGAGAAGGGTTGTTCTACGTTGTTGTGCTGTTGACTCGGTAACTTTGCTGTCCTAAAACCTGATACTATTGATACAACCTTGTAATGTGTAAATAGGGTCAAGATATTCTGTGCATTCTTCACAAAGTATTTTAGGAAACTTATGTCACTGTAAGAAATGAAGTGTGGATGTCACGATTTATTCTGGAATCTTTTGTTTCATTGACCTCCTTTAGGGTACTTTAAAATCACTGTGATGGTGAATAAGCTTCACGTGCTTTTTAAAAATACTGTTACAGTTCTACAGAAGCAAGAGCACTTTCCAAACTGACACAAGTGTGCTTATGAAACTAAATGGAACCATTGTTAAAAGATAAGGCACCGGTAGCGAAATATGGTTGTGTGTTTGAGTAGAAATTGCATAGAGAGAAAGCATGAGCATGGACTGCAGGATTTGTGCAGAATGAACAACTTGAATACACACACCTAGTAGATATTAAGGGTTTGCACAGAAGCCCTTGTATGTGGCAGTGTGCTTCCCATGGCAGCGCTTTCTCCAGCAGCAGTTGTGATAGTGAAGCTGGTAAAGGCTTAGGAAAGGCACCAGCAGACATGGGTTTAAATGAGCACTATTTCACCTAAGGATCTTCCCCATTTTCTGTCACATGTACTAACAAGCACAGCATGTTGTTTACTATGCTTGCAGAAGTGAATGAAATAAGACTGAACTGCAGTACGTGCAGCTGTTTGCACTGTGGGCAACTGGAGGAAAAAAAAGAAAAGGTCTTAGCCTGAAAACTTAACTTTTAAAGTTAGACCTGAGATTTCAAGTGTTCCCTTTTTTTTCCCCTCCCACTGACCCCTAGTTACCGTAACAGTAATTATCAAGACTTGCTCCCTGTGGCTGTATTCTGGAAGTTACAGCTTCCCTACATTTTTACAACTAAGACTGATGTGCTGTAGTTACTGGGAACGGTTCTTCAGCTCTCAGAGATGCTGAAGAAAGCATGGAAAAGTAACAGTAACTGCTCCGGGCTGCTCAAAGCTGTGCTAAACGCTGCTGCGTGTTTGCTAAACCTGGAAGCAGTCCTTGTAGCTGCTTTCATTTCTTTCCTTAGATTTTAGGACTCTCCAGCCTCATGCTAATCCTTTGGAGGACAAGATTTTTGTATACATTTATTTCTACACATTTGCTTCATGATTTTGAATAAGTTTAGTTGTTTTTTTTTAAGTGTTGAGGCATGATCTTATAGCACTTACTCTTTACCAGTAGTAAAGAAGGAACTGCAGCTGGATGTGGTATTTGCTTTTGCATATGAAACATACTAAATTAAGAGCTTCACAAATTAAGAGAGACAGTGTTGCTTTCAGCAGCTCATTGGGACTGCAGCAGCAATCAAACCATGCACTTCACTGAGTGGTTGTCCAGCAGCTTAGGTGTAATATACTTAAAGTTGCCTGGAGTCCAGAGTGCACACTTCCTACCACACCTTTTGCCATGCAGTAAGATGGATTTAGACTGTATATTGATCTTGAAAAACCTTTGGGTATTATAGAAACATTTTATATTAACAGTTTCCATTCCTGTTGTACGCACAAAGTCCCTGTCAGTAATTATGAATCACTTTAGAAAGACAGATGCCAGAAAGAACAATCAAAGCTCTACATGCTTGCAATGAAATAAAGGTATAGGGATCAAAAATTATTACAGGTTTAATAACTGCATATTTAGAAGTAACGTTCATTATTTAAACAGCTTCTTAAACAGCTAAACAAAGGTAGCTGAAGACAGAAACATGGGCTGTTCCACTGATAGCTGTTGGCTGGCTTTCTCTGTTGTTAAACTGCTGAATGAATTATTTCCTTCCACAAATCCAGGAGGCAGGCTAGAGGATAGGCCTGAGGTCAATCATCTGTTCTCCATCCCCTCTGATTAGCTGCTACTGAACAGCACGCACAATTCACCCAAATGTCACTGCACTTATGGATATTGTTCAGATTGCAATTATCCAGCATGAAAACAAACATTTCACAGGCCAGCAATACTCTGTAGGAAGGCCAGTATTGTCATAGGAACTCGTGAGCTGAATACCCAGCCTTCATTAGCAATCATAATACGCTTGACTCCCTGGAAAACTCTGATCTTGAGAACTGCGATTTTGATCCATGTTCTAAAACTGAGGTGTCATTTTCTTTCTGCTTCCCTGCTTACCTTGAGCAAAGCTTGCCAGGTTACCAAAAAGTTAAGAGTTTGCTACTGGATTTATACAGTATGGTAGATTTTGTGAATAACTGCAGTATTCTCTCATGAAAAAAAGTGGTATATTTTGATGGAATTCTTTTCTGGAACCAAGTACAACCTATTGCAATTGTATTTCTCTCGAAACACTTTGACATACTTGTGATTGTACTTCTTTTTGATTGTGTAACGGTATAAAATTCAATAAAAGAGAGGGTTTGTTTCTAATCTGTGACACCTGTGATCTTTCTGTTCATCAATTAGCCCCATTCTGAAAGATGGACATGGCAAAAACACTTTGAAAAAGAAAGTAAATACACACTATGAGCACAACTGAAACTTGCGTGTTTGAGGTGCAACCCACCTCGTGCTGAAGTCAACAACCCCGGTCACTAAACATACACGTGGTCTGTTTTCCAAAAGCATTTATGAATTGTTCTCACCCTTACAGCCAAAACCACTCACGGTGGTTATCCCATCTCAATTAAGTGCACAACAGCCCTGAACAGGAGAGGATAAGCACACAGTTCCAGTCTAACACCAGGGATTGTGCAGGTGCTGCACAAAACACAGAGAATAGAGCAATGGATATGGAGGCAGGGGGACTAAGTTTTAAAAGAAACCTCTCAGTAATCAAGAACACCCTTAGTAACAAAACAGAAGCAATTTCAAATCCGAGATGATTTTCCAGGCCATTTCAGCTGCTCTCAACACATGCAAATAGTAAGACAGTAAGAATCCCAAGATCTTGCTAAGCGAATACCGTTTCCTATTGCACGAATCAGAAATTTCCTGCTATGTTTCTGTTTTGTTGTGATGAAGCCTGAAAGCAGAAAGCACGCACGAATGCTATCAACTCAGCAGAGTATGACCCCATTATTATACGATCCCCAGTACTAGTGATGTCTACGTATTTTGTTAAATAGCATATTAAAGCTACGTGACGTACGCTCATGAAAACAAGATTTATTTCCATTTCCATGTTCTCAATTTGAAAAAGTATTCTGAACACATACGATACTCAAAAATAAACGAGTTACCCTGTGCCATACGCAACTTGAGAAACCTGTTATTTATAGCTATGTTTACGCAGGATAAACAGCTTAACTTGCATCTTACAGGGCAGGACAAGTGGGAACTCGTATCCCTTTGTTTAGCAGTTATACGAAGAAGATACAGGAACTAGCACACTGTTCCTTGGAAAGCAGTCAGTGGACAGCTGAAATATACTAATAAAGAACACGAAGGAGCACTGAACAAAAACAGTTCATCAAGAAACGTGGAGGATTAATTAGCCTAAAAAAAAAAAACAACACTATTTGAGTGTAAAAACAACAGAATGAGAATTCTGCAAGAAGATCCCGTTTGTTTTCCTCTCTCTCTCTCTCTCACACACACACACACATGAGCCTCGTCCCGCTGCATCCTCTCTCACAGCGCGGTACTGCAGCCCTGCCTGCCTTACAGAAGCACCGATCCGCCTGGTGCTTCTTCACACGGCATCCCTGAGAAACCACCGTCAAAACTGGGGAAACACACCTGGCGAGCCGCATCGCTGCCGTTAGACGAAGGGATAACCGCCGTAACTGCAGCGATGGCTCCGGCCCCTGCCTCCCGTCCCTGCGCCCATCGGGGTCCGTACGTGTGGGCTGAGGAACGCTAACCGCTCTCCCCACAGCGTCAGCATCCAGTTCCATTAGCTCACCGGGGTCACACAGGGGATGAACGGGGTCGCAGCCCTACGTCTTTAAACAGCACTTGAACTAAATGTATTTTCAGAAACAAACCAACCAACCAACCACCCGGCCGCGCCGCTCGCTCGCAGCTCGGTGCGCACAGCCCCGCTCCCCGCCGTTCCCGCTCTCCGTCACAGACCTGCGCTCCGGCCGCTCTCCGCCGCCTCGGCCGCCGCCCGCGCCTACGTGCGCCGGGGAGCGAGGGGTCAGAGAGCCGCCAGAGCCCGCACCGCTCCGCGCCGAAGCCGCGCCCACCCACTCTACGTGCAGCCCGGCAGCCGCGGCCCCCCGCTCCCCGCCCGCCTACGTGTGGCAGTGCATGCGGGGAGCGCCCGGCGCAGCGCACCCCAGCCAACCCCCGCCGCCCTCCCTCACGGAGAACCCGTGCACGGAGCAGCGCGCATGGCCGGGAGCTGCGCAGGCGCCCTGACGGGAAGCGGGGCGCGTTAATGGCGGCGGGGTGAGCTGTGAGCCGTGAGCCATGAGTGCCGTGCCCGGGCTGCAGGAGGACTGCGAGGCGCTGCTCGGTGCCTTCCAGGAAGCCGACACCGTCCGCTTCGAGCGCTTTGCTGAGCTGTGGCGGGAGCGCCGCTTCCACACCATCTTTCAGTGAGTGAACGGCCCTTGTGGGTTGGCATTAAATAGCATAACGTAGATTGTTGCCTTTTTCACTCCGGATCTAATTTACTACACGCAGTGCTGCTTGAGAACATAGAGCACAGCCCTCTGTGGAGTTACCAAGGGTAACGTTTTAAAGTTCCTAGAGCTCGCTGCTGCCTTATGGATGCTGTGACACCCGTGCTTTTACTGTCAGTTGCTGCAGCGTATTGCTTTCTGTTTGCTGTAGTGGTAGAATGAGAGCTCTGGAGAGGAATAAGATCACAAAGAAGACGTTGGAGCTGGCACAGCAGTACTTCTTGCCGCCGTATGCCTTCCAGATCCGAGTCGGCGCTCTGTACCTTCTGTACGGGCTCTACAACACGCAGCTCTGCCAGCCGAAAATAAAGGTAACTTACTGAGCCTCCTCGGAAGGTGTGGGGCGTGAGATGTTGTCATGGCATTACTAAGGTTGGAAAGGGTTGCTGAGATTGTTTGTCACCATTATAGTAAAGAAGTTCTTCCTTATGTTTGTATGGAAGTTCCTGTTTTCCAGTTTGTGTCCATTGCTACTTGTTCTGTCGCTCGGCACCACTGAAAAGAGCCTGCAACCATCTGTTTGACTCCCACACTTCAGACATTTATGAACAGTGATGAAATCGCCTCTCAATCTTCTCTTCTCCAGGCTGAACAGTCCCAAGTCTCTCAGTCTTTCCTCATACAGATGTTCCATCCCCCATTCATCTCTGTGGCCTGTGGCTGTACTCTCTCCAAAAGTTCCCTGTCTTTCATGAACTGGGGAGCCCAGAACTGGACACAGTACTCCACTAAAGCAGAGCAGAAGGGGAAGGATAGCCTCCCTTGACCTGCTGGCCACGCTCTTTTTAATGCACCATGACACCGTTGGCCTTCTTGGCCACAAGGGCACACTGTTGGCTCATGGAACATCCTATTGTCACCAGGACACCAAGGTTTTTCTCCACAGTCATTGGGAAGCTAGAATGTTCTTGTCAAATGCGGAGAGAACTCCATGATGGCCTTGGTTGTTTATTAGAATTTCAACAAAATGGAGACTGGTTAAATTATTTCCAATTCCTGTTAACTAGAAGTAGAATTCGTAAATAGGTGGAAAGCCTGAGCAATATGTGCCTTCTTACTGCCTCTAGGAGAAGAGATTGGTATAGAAATGAATTAGAAAATCAGCGCAAGTGGTTTGTGCAGAAACAGTTGTGTATGTTATGTGCTCAACTGAGTCCAAATTCCTTACACAGGAAACAAAGTATTTCACAGTGATGTCATTACATCTCAATCTTAATTATAGAGGAGTCATTTTACAGAGATGAATTCTGGCAATTTTAAAGCCACTGCTATACAGGAAATGTTGGTGAGTGCAGGAATCATCCAAGAAGGTGTCTTAGGTAGAGTGAAAATGAAGTGGGCTGAGCAAATGGGAGGATGGAAAGCAAGAAATGAGGAAGACTTTCTTGAGCAGGGCATTGTAACAGTACACAACTGATTTGTTGCAGATCAGGATTGCACTCAAGGATTGGCCTGAAGTCCAGAGCTTTCAACAGGATCTGATAGATTCCCAGCATTATGATGCAGCATACATCTTTAGGACACTGCGTCGTGCCAGAGCATTCCATTTCACAGCAATGCCAAAGCTAGTGAGTTATTTTGTTAACAACCTACCATTTTTAATAAAATATCTTCAGCTTTCAATGGCTGGCAGTCCAACAGCACTGGTGTGCTTGATGCTGTGCACTGTGCCTTGCTTTATGTAACTGGGCACACAACATAAAGCTTAGAGGATGTTTGAATACCACGCTTCTCACCTGGAATGTTTTTTTTCAGTATCTAATCTTCTTACAATTTGAGATGTCGTATAACATGTGGAAATGTTGAGCTCCTGAGTTAGAGGGCTGGAATGATTTTTTTAAAGTGCTGGTTGAGCACTTGGCTGTGAAGATGCATGCTGTTGTCGATGCGGTAGTTTTATGCCTTTCAGCATCTCTTGATTGTTAGATATGCAGCTAAAACTCTCAAGAGTAGGGTGGTTTAAGTTGACCATTCACGTTACAAAGCCTTGTCTCCTGCTTTAGCTCAACTACAGAACTAAGAAGAAGATCCAAGAGAATGAATGTAAAGAAGAATTTAAAGATCCAAGTAACAGAGTAAGCAGCCTCATCACGAATGATGTATTGGAGGTACAGTAACTTTAAACTGTGATTAAGCTTCTGTTTGTTTTGGTGTTTTTTTTCTGTTATTGAAAAGCTATACATTCTCTAATTAGCCCAAGATGGTCCTTTGTGCATTTCTTATGGAATGCAGACTAAGGTGATAGTCTGTCTTAGCAGTTTTTTTGAATATTCATAAACACAGTATTTAATTGGGAAGAACTTTTGTACCTGTTGCTACCATCTGGTACCTGTACCACACATTCCTATGTTTTTTCTGGCTTTGCCTCAATAAGATGTAAATGGCAAAGGGAAAAATGGCCATGTGTCACTTGGGGGTGGGGGAGGGTGAAGAAAAAAAAAGAAAAATGTTGAGTTGGGCAAAGCAGGTTTGTTTTGTTGTGTCTGCAGATTGCAGCTGGAGGCTGGGTATGGATAATAAGACCTTAATCATCAAAGGTTATAGCCTTTTCTAACCTCTGTTTTTCCTTTTAAAACTTGGTTTTCTTAAACATATAAAATATTTCTATAAAAAAAAAAAACACAAAAAAAACACAACAAAACAGTGATTGAAGCAGGCTATAGCTTGCATTGTACATTGTAACTCAGTAAATCCTTGCTTAAAAAAGTCCAGTTATCTGAAATGTTGGCATGAGAAGGCTGTGAAGTGATTCCTCTGAAGAGATGAAAAAAGGAGACCTCCTCGAGATCTGATCCTTGGCATCACTGAGCCTTCCTTCTTGGTTTAAACAAAAGATACTCTTTCTTCTTTTGCTTACTTGGTGTGCTGATGGGGAAGTGCTAGGTAATATTACTGCTAGGCTCTCTGAAATGAAACTGATACAAATAATCTCTTTCTAACGCTTCTGCTAATTCAGTGGTGTCCTTAGGTTATATAATCTTGGTTTTCTTCAGTGAGAACTCATATCACTTTATGCTGTAATCTTTTGCCTGAAAAGTGTCTCTTTTCCTGTTTTAGGAACTGATGAATATTCATGAGCACTATCAGAAAATGAAATGTGCCATATCAGCTGACAAATCCCAGCCAGACAAGGCCCTGAGCTTGATAAAAGACGAATTTGTAGTTTCTCTTAAAGACATGGCTTTGGAACATCAGGAATGGCAGCAAAAAAGATTGGTAGGTAATACCAGCCACTGTGCTGTGGCAATTTAACGGGTTATGTGAGAGTGTAAGAACTGGTGTAGAGCTGGGATCTCAGTCTAAGAGCTGGAACACTGAAGAATGGAGCGAGTCAAACTCAGGGTTGTGGTGTGGGGGAAAGGATGGTGACTTGCATGTGACACTGGCTGCATGATAACAGAAATGTTTGCCCTGGAATGTGTGATTTGTGGATGGTATTAGAATGACCGTGCGAAATACCTCTGTAGCAGTTTGTGGTCAAGGAAAGGCTGTAATGTAAGATTAGTGAAGAAAATGGGCACGTGTGGTTACTGCTCTGTGAGTGATATTTAAAAAACATTCTGTATCGTGTGTCCTTCAGAAATTGTTACTAAAAGCTAAAGAAGCTGATGAAATGCCAAACAGAGTGGAAGAAGGAACTTCGCTACGATCAGAAGTAAGAAAAACGAACTTGTTTGCTACATTGCACAGGCAGAATCTGCTAATTTCTTAATATCATAGGCGAGGTGGGTTTTTCCTGTCCTTCCAGGGCTTGACAGAGTCAAAGTAAGTTCCAGGAATAATTAGTAGAGTTGGGGTTTTTATTTTAAGTTGCGTTGTTTGCTGTCAAGCTCTGAGCAGGCACAGCTGTGATAGTTCTGAGATGCTAGAAGTAAAAAGATACAGCCCCTTTCAGGTAAGGAAGGGAAAGAGCTGTGTTTTCTTGGCCACACACCTTCATGATCCCTCCCAGAGTTTCACCTAAATGCAGTAACTATTTTTTAATGCTGTAAAATTCTCTTGTATTGTACTTGCCTGCTAGTTTCAACTGTGAATTTGACTAAGAAGTGAACTTTCAAATTTTATTTTCTGTTCCTGAGCTGTGGCAGGAACCTGAAGGCAACCAAATTCAGCTTTGCATTCTTAATGGAACTTGAACTTCATTTAAGAAACAATTTGTCACCATTTATTATGGAATTACAGCAATAATGAAATACTGTGAAATCTGGTTTAAGAGTTCGTTTTAATGTTACTGTAATAGAAAATGAAATCTTTTCCTGAGTAATCCTTTTGTTTCTCTGCAGGGTTCTGAAAGAGCAGATGCTTTGGCTAGAATCAAGCACAAGTCTTATTCTGCAGTTGTTGAGGTAGGTGTAAAATTTGATGGTAGAGATGTAGTTATTTTAAATGATAATTTAAAGTACTAACAGTGCAAACAATTGATCAAAAAGGAAGCAGTTAAAATTGCACTCTGTAATTCAGCTTTTGAATGTTCTGCTTTCCATATCTAACACATAGGGGAAACGTGAGGTTCTTGTTATTCTTGTTAGAGTAATGAAGCAATGCCAGTGTGGTCTGTGCCTGGGGGTTTTCATTTACAAGGTATCTTTTCATGTCAGTGCTCTGTTTTTAATAGATGGAATTTTAAGTAAATGGAATTAAGAAGTACTTGAGTTCAATGATTCCTTGAGGCTCAGATGTTTGAAGCTGTGAAGATTCTTGTGAGAATGGAACTTGGGGGTTTAAAGCCAATAGGAAATTTTTGGAATTGTTTCTCTAAGTACCACTCGAAAAATAGGATTGAATTATCCTTCTTAGGGCAGAGCCATGATAAACATTGCATCGTTCTTTGTTTATTTAGATTATTTATTGGAGAATTCATTATGAAATGAAACAGAACTCTGGGATGTACAGCAGTTCAGCCTTATGAATGAAGCACTAAATGACATACAGTAACACACAGCTATAGCAGGTTAACTTCTTTTGTTCATAGTTCTTACATATATTTACCTTCTAGGCCTCCAAATCCAGAAGACATCGTCAAGTAATACTAGAATCTTCTGAATCAGGACTGGATTATGGGAAATCTCCAAAACGAAGTAAAAAAAGCAGTAGGAGACCACAGCCAGCAGAGAAAAGAGGTTCTCTGGAAATCAGAGGTTTTTTTCCATTGCATTTAGGAAGAAATTCTTTACTGTAAGGGTGGTGAGACAATGGAACAGGTTGCACAGAGAGGTTGTGGATGATTCATTTATGGGTCTCAAGAAACTGGTTTGGTAACAGTTTTTTGCACTTGCTTACATTCCAAGATGCACATCCCTGCTTGTGCATCTGTTTTTTTTCTTTTTCCTTTGGACTTGAAAGACAGTCCTTTATCTCCATCTGCCAGTTCTGAAGGCTTTTGTTCTCTGAAGTCAGCTTTCCAGTGTCCAACTTCTAACTGATAAAAGTTGCTCAGCCATTTCAGTCTTTCATTTGACTTACTGTTTATTGAAGGTTAACGAAAAGTGAGCAGTGAAGTAGTTTTGAATAAACCACCTTGAAGAGAATGATTTCAGAGTTCCAAAGTCTGCCTTGCTTAGCTTCTGAGAAAATTCAGCCCACTTCAGAGCTGGGCATTAGGCTACGCTGGCTCTGCTTCACTTCAGAACATTAGATGTAGTACTGGAGAGAGAATAAGGAGAGGAGCTTTGAATAATCTCTGAACTGAGCTGGTGATCAATGCTGTTAGTTACTTGTTACAGAGCGTTTTTCTGGTGAGCCATATGAACGTACTGGAAACAGGTGTTTCTCCACAACCTTTGCCTGCAAAGTCAATACAGATACAAGAGAACAGTCTTCTAACTACTGCAGCTAAGATACAGAAGTGAAAAAGAAACTAATATTAATAAAAAAAAGAAAAACAAAAACCCAAAGCTGACTTTTTCTCCTAAAAAAATCTGTCTGCAGGTCAGATGCAAGCAGAAAAGGAGACTGTTACTCACCATATTGGGATGCCTGTAATCACAGAAGAAGACAGCTCAGATACAGAAGGTATCATGATTGAAATTCTAAGAGTCTGTAGGCTTGTTTTGTTAATTGCTCTGTACTATGCTGTATTTTTTTTTAAACTAAAATTGGTGCCTTGAATCGCTTTGCTTTGCTTTCTTGCAAAAGCTAGGTTAGTTTTCATCCTGTAAATTGTTACATCAAAACCGAAGCTTTGCTCTGATAGTTTGTTGCAAGCAAAGGTGATGGCAAAATCCTGGGAGTCATGTTCATTGTACATAAAATTATTTCCATTGGCAGTTCATTGATAGTCTGATAGATCCTGCTTACAAAGAGGAAGGCAGACTTAAGAGCTCGACCAGAGATCCTTGCTGTTAGCCTGAAAGAATGGGATTTAATTTACTGAAAGGGAAACAAGAGGATAAGTGCAACTTCTGTAAAGGCCTGACAGCATAGATGAGTGTGAGGAGTACGTGTTTTGGAGTTAACTTACTATCAAAAACTGCATGTAACAAAAGGTTATTTTCATACAAGAGAGAATAATAACAAAATACATCCACAGCAAAGTAGTACGACCTCTGATCATCATAGTTAGCTGCAGACAATTTGAATTCATTCAACTTTTAGACGGGTTGAAGGCACGATGGTGTATTTTATATTGTACATGATGTTGTTTGTTCCTCCTCCACGTTGTCATGATGTTTTGTCTCTAAGTCAGTTCCTCAGTCCTTTGAATAGTTTTACCAGTATTTGAAGCATTAAAAAATACCCATAAGCAAACTTAGGTGTAACTTTGTTACTAAGTGTTCCATATTAAAGATGTTTATGAGGAACAGAAAGCTCTCGAAATTGAATAAGTTGGAAAGGACAGTACTTTGTTAATCAGTGGGATTTCATTTAATATTTTGAATGATAATATGCCATAGAATCTGGAAAGATTATTTTTTTTTCATATTTAAAGTCATGCAGAGAGGGGTTCCTGAGGGAATCTCAGGAGCTCATCTAATTCATTTCCTTCTTCTGGGCAGAATTAATTCTAGTTTAATTATTCCCAGGAGGGAAGATAGATTGCAAAGTTTGTCAGAAAAATCTCTTTATTTCCTTTCAGAAGTACCTCTCTCCAAGAGGAGAAGACGACGTTAGGATCCACTTGGAGAACACTAATGTGAATTGTGATGACAAAATGTAAATGTCAGATGTAACACAGAGTTCTTGTCTGGATTCCACTGGATGTACAACAGGAACTGGGTGGGACCAGAGCTACAGCTGACACTGGAGTACTGGTGCTGAATGCTGTACCTCAGCAGTCTCATGGTACGGCACCTGGTGCCTTCATTCACCTGGCTGATGATTCCTGTGAGAGAAGAAGTTGCTCTGCACTGTGTGAGATGAGAAGAGGGAGAAGATGGTTCCTTCTTGTATTTAGTTTCTATAATGCGAGTGATCTCTTGGAACTCACCTTGACTTGCAATGACTTTTTAGCAGACACTCTTGAAAGAACAGCTCACAAAATACTTGCCTGTGTTTGTACAATAAATTATTTCTCACTGTTTACTTGCTACATTTTATAGCACGCAAATTCAGCAATATTTATCAATATAAATTGATAAATTTATACAGGTGTGGGAAATGAACTTGGTGATAAGCCTTTTATTGTATTCAGTCTCCAGCAGATCTGGCTTTGTTGTATATTTGAATGAGGAAATACAGTGCGTGTTTATTGATTACTTTTTTTTTTGTAGGTGACATCAAGCTGTACAAAGGCAGGACTAGAATTCAAAATGATCTTTATCAATTGGAGCAGTGATGTGGAAAGAAGTAGGAATGGAAGTAAACATGAAGCTTAGCACTAGGAAAAGGTACAGAGTGGGGAAACAATTGCTAGGCAACAGTACTGCAGGAAAAGCAAAAAGACTGAGAATCATGCTGGAGTATTTTCTGTAAACAGTAACATCCTCTAGCATTTGTGTCACCATTCAGCCCTGTAAGGCCGCAGGCTTAAATACTCCCTTATGACCATTGATAATTAAAAAAACAAAAAAAACCAAAGTGGGTAATTATTCTCTTTGGTATTTTCTGCAGTTAAACACAGCTGCAAAAAAAAAAACAAACACCCACAACCTGTCAAGAAAGGCCAAAGAGTTTGAGCAAGAATAAATAGGGATACAAAAGACTTTTTTTTGGCATAAAAGGGGTCTAAACTGAGTGAGTTACTGTGGTAGGTATTTCAGAGCCCAAAGGAATGAAAGTGCCTTTACCTAGATGAAGGAACTCTGAAGTGAAAAGGTAAAGGGTTGGAATATAAAAAGGGCAGGTATTAAATGCATTAGTTGGTAAGGAGGAGCAGGCCGAAGTGACAAAAACTGGTCACTGGAAAAATTAATAATTAAGCACCAGTATTGCACTCAAACCCTCATTTATGGACAACAAGGAAGTGCTTTATTAAAAAGCCAAAAATGTAATTGACTGAAGAATGGTATTCGTACCACAGTAATCACCATTTATATAGCAAAGCTAAAGGATCATCTGTGTGGGCATTTGAACGTGTGGAGGCCATGTTTACAAGGGCAATGGGGCTGTACTTTGAAATGTTCAGGTGCCACCTGTTTAGAAGACACTTACGTGGAAGACATTTTGCACTGTAATTTTCACTGCAGTGGAAAAATCAGCAAGGCCCAAGCAAGCCAAGGTAAGTGCAAAAGGTATTGTGGGCCGTGTGGGGAGTGAACATCACGTCTAGAAGAATCCTAACAAAAAAAAAAAGTAAAAAAAAGAAATAGACTATGCAAGATTAGCATGGGAAAGGTTTGGGAGTGATTGTAAGAAACTTCATAGCTATGTACCGTGTATGTAGACCCTTCCAGGTCACAGCAACGGGAAGAAACGAACTGGAGCACTAAGGTTGGAAAAGCTCCCTGCGGTCAGCCAGCCCTCAGCTGTGCGCGGCGCAGCCCGCTGCGTTCTCCACACACCTCAGGCACGTCGGGAGGTCCCGGGGCACCTCGAGGCGTTGGAAGTCGCGCAGCATTTTGGGAGAGACGTGGTGAAACCGCCGATCCTCCCTAACTGCCTTTGTCCGAGTTCCGTTGCGCGCCCCGGGGCTGCGGGCAGCGGTTATGGGGTGCGGGCTGGTAGGGAGCCCCGCTCCTGCGGAAAGCCGCGCCGCCTTCAGCCCTCACGGCTCCGCGCGACGAGAAGGCGGCGGGGCCGGGATCCCCTCCGCACGGCCCGGGGGCTCCCCCCGCGGCGAGGCGGGCGGCGGGGAGGTGCCGTGCGGGTCGGTCAGCGCGTCCCCTCCCCGGGCCGAGCTCCGAGTCCCCGGCCGCCGCCATCGGGAAGTCGGGCCGCGCCGCTGCGGCCGTGGCGACGGACGGTGAGTGCGAGCCGGCGGCGCCCGGAGCGGGGTGGGCGGTCGGTCCCTGACCGCGGCCGGGGACTTCACCGAAGGCGGGGGGTGTCGGTGCGGTCTCTACCGTGGGGCGGGGCGGGCAGGTAGGAGCGCGGGGATACGGGCTTGGGGGGAGAGAAACCGCGTAGCGACGCGCGCTTTGAAAAGCACGAACAAAGAGCGGGTGGCCTTGTGGTTACGGGAGGCTTGGCTGCGTCCGTGCGCTTCCAGGCACGGCGGGGCTGCTGGGGTTCTGACCGCGCTGATGCGAAGGTAATCGCCTGCCGCGCCACGATCGATTCCTCCGTTCCCGTCCCCTCCCGGCGTGAGCCTGGGTTGCAGTAGAGCCCCGGCTGCGGGAGGGCAGGCGCTGCTGCTCACACCTCATTGCGCAGCCCCCCCGCTTACAGCCCGGCTCCGCGCTGTTACCGAGCGCCCGGGGATCTCTCTGTGTCTTTCTTCAGCTTGTTTGGAGGACAGATAGACCTGGTAGCCTTGAAAGACGTCAGGATGGCATGCCACGGTTCATAAGCTTGCAATAACAAAATCCTAAGCTTGGAGGGGAGATTTAGGTTGGATGCCAGGGGAAATTCTTTACAGAGAGAGTGGTGAGGTGCTGGCTGTTCCAGAGAGGTTGTGGATGCCCCGTCCCTGCAGGTGTTCAAGGCCAGGTTGGATGGGGCCATGGGCAGCCTGGTTTGGTATTAAATGGGGAGCTTGGTGGCCTTGCATGTGGCAGGAGAGTTGGAGATTCGTGATCCTTGAGGTCCCTTCCAACCCTGGCCGTTCTGTGATTCTGTGAGCTCTTCATAAGGATTGGACTTAGTGGGGAGAATAATTTCTCTCTTCCTTTCGTCATACAGTGATGCTCACCTGTGTCTGCTGTTCCACACTGTCTTTCAAAACTGTGCCCCAAAGGGGAGGTGACCCTGGACAAGGCCCAGGCCGACATGATGTGGACGTGGCTTTTGGAGTTCTCCTTCCGTGAATGTGAGTAGATGGAACTAAGAGGACAGCAGAGAGTGAAACAGTTGCTTGTGGTGCTGTACCTGACCCTCCTCACAAGCCTGACTAACACCAGAGATGGAGTTCAAGCATTGTTACGCTGTTTGTAGCCTGAAGACAGGTGTATTGCCTTTTGGTTCAGCTACTGAGGCTTTGGTGCTCATCATCATTTTCTACCTTCTATTAGCAGAGGTTTGCTTTACAGAGTAGGAAGCATTTGTGCTCTGCTGGATGCTATTCTTTGAGCTTGTTCAACCTGGTGAAAAAAAGGCTGCAGGGTGACCTGATAGCAGCCTTTCAGTACCTAAAGGGAGCCTACAAACAGGAGGGGAATCAACTCTTTGAAAGGGTAGATAGCAGCAGGACAAAGGGAAATTTTTTTAAGTTGAAGGAGGGAAGATTGAGGTTGGATGTCAGGGGGAAGTTCTTTACAGAGAGAGTGGTGAGGTGCTGGAACAGCTGCCCAGAGAGGCTGTGGATGCCCCGTCCCTGGAGGTGTTCAAGGCCAGGTTGGATGGGGGCATGGGCAGCCTGGGCTGGTACTAAATGGGGAGGTTGGTGGCCCTGCCTGTTGGCAGGGAGATTCATAATCCTTGAGGTCCCTTCCAACCCTGGCCATTCTGTGATTCTGTGTTCCTTGTAGTTCCTGTTGTGCACTGCTGTCTTGTGGCTGCTTTTCCCTCTCACTGGTGTTGCAGCAAGACCAAGCTAATAAACCCTGCTAAACTCATCTGTCTTGGTCTGGAACAACTGGAATATCTTGCACTGCTTGCCATTTTCTGCTTGTTTTGTGCGCCAGGTTAGACCTGCCTGAAGTTCCTTTATTTCTCACCAGTTCATATCTCAGCCTTAGTGGTCCCATCCTGTAGAGCTACGTGCTCTGGGCTGTACTGCTTTCAAAACTCCCCACATGCCTTGTGTTTATCAGGTTCCTTGGTGGTTTGCAATATTTAATCTTGGTAAGCACATCTAGCAGTTAATTCCTTATCCCTGTGACACTTAGGGAATGTTTTGATTGAGGAATAATACCTTGAACACAAAAGACCTGAGGAGTGTTCAATATTAGGCTGCATTTCCTGGACTTGGTAAGATGGTGTACTTGTATTAAATTCCATTTGGATATAAACTGTGATCTTTTTTCATGTGGGCGAAGGTGCATTGTTCTGTTCAGCTTTCTGTCATCTGACAGGTGCCAACCCTGCCTGTACTTGCATGGAGCAGTGGTACCATTGGTGGATCGCAGGGTTTGTGTTGGTTAGGGAACTTGGGGAGGAGTAGGGATATCGTGTAGCTTAGGTGGTGCCAGTTTCTGTCCTTGAATCAGAGCTGTTCCTCAGAGAAAGGCATAATAGCCGGAGTGCCTCTCTTTCCCTGTGATTCTGGGCTGCCAGAGGAGGTGGTGGTGATGACTTGTGGAGATCTGGAGTTATATGTCTGAGCAGTCCGCCCTGATTCTTATTGTTAAATAATTCATTGTTCCTGCTGGCTGAGGGATCAGAAAAGAAGCAAGTTTGGTCTCCAAAAGCTTTGGCTCAACCCAATTTGAAATGAGTGCCGCTTAAACACAGTTCAGGTCAGTGCTGGAGTGAGCCAAATGCTGCATGTCACTTAAATACACTTCTAATGGTAATAAATATGGTCTCCTCACAGTAGTAAGTGTGCGTCAGGTGTTTCTAAATGAAAATTTTACCAAGAGAATATACTGAAAAGATTAGTTAAATGGACACACAAGTCACTTCTCAGAGTAGAATCACAGAATCATTGAAGTTGGAAGAGATCTTTAAGATCACCAACCACCAACCCACCACCACCATGCTCGCTAAACCACATCCCACAGTGCCACATCTACACGTTTCTTTGAACGCCTCCAGGGACAGTGACTCCAATTTGAAAGTTGGTTTCAGCAATATTGGGACTTAACCACGCTGCACATCTACAGCCCTCTTTGTTGTGCAGGTTGTCTATATTCCACCTGAAGGCAGCTTCACTCTGTTACAGCTTTTAGTTAAACACTTTGTGTTTGTGTCACTTCATGTACGTGGGTATCACAGTGCAACAACATGCCATTAATAATTATTGGGGCAGTAGTAAGATCCCAGGCAGAGTAACCGAATCCTAGTTTCTTTGTTAAGCCACCAGGATTCAGTTACTCTGCCTGGGA